TGTGCCTTAGCATAGCTTCCAGGAGGATCTGTTCCATGATCTTCCCAGGCACAGAGGTGAGACTGACTGGCCTGTAGTTCCCTGGGTCTTCCTTTTTTCCCTTTTGAAAAATGGGGGTTATGTTTCCCTTTTCCAGTCAGTGGGAACTTCACTGGACTACCATGACTTCTCCAATACGATGGATAGTGGCTTAGCAACTTCATCCGCCAGTTCCTTCAGGACCCACGGATGGATCTCAGTGGGTCCCATGGACTTGTGCACCTTCAGGTGCCTTAGATGGTCTGTTGCTGTTAACATGTTTGATGTCAGTATCTGCTGCACCCCAACAGTCCATTGGATCCCGTTGTCCATTGTTTGTCCAGCCCAACTTTTTGTCATTCCTACAGAAGGCTCTCTGACCCCATGTGGCTGAGAAGGAATGAAGCAAAGCCCCAGAGCTCAGATCTTCTTAAAAGACACTGACACTTGAAGCCAGCAGAGACCATATTTATACAGATCTAATTATGCATGCATATACACAGGGTTAAAAGGCTGGGGGTTTTTATTTTCTTCCATTTTTGTTACACTGGGAGTAGAGGGAAGTTAAAAGCCTGCAAGCATTTACTTGGCCAATGTTGTTTAATTCCACTTTTCTAAACCCTTTTATTTTGTTGGCTAAAAACTGCTATTATATACGTTAGCGAGGTAGATGAAACTTGCTAAAATTTCAATTTCTTTTATGGCAACAATAAAGTAAGGTCATGTTTCCCTAAAGCCAACCAACAAGTGCCAACTCCCAAAGTCTCCGGGGCAGGGGGCGGGGGGAAGGCAAGAGACCATAAATTCTTGGTGGTTTTATTATTATCATTAACTCTGCCTAAAGTAATGCCTATTGTTTTGAGTGGACCTTTGCAAGCAGATGTTCCTCATATGACAACTGAAATAGAATTTTGATTATAAATGGTTCTGTTCAAACTGGTCAGACTAGGTGTGCTATGAAGTATTTTTGTACATGCACGGAGGGACAGCAAAAGACATTGCTGTCTTTAACTGAGAGGACTTCCTCACACTATGTATGGTTAGAACATAGGAAGAAAGTTTTGAAAAAAATGTAGCTTTTCAGCTCTAAAAAGCTATTTGTAAGACCCCACCAGGCTACACTGAACTCTAGCATGCAAGGCGCCATCACCTAGTTCTCCTAACTGTCCTCTGAGATCCTAGCAGAATGAGACTCTTGTAGCTCCTCAACTGGGCAAAGAAGCTTGAAATTAGACTGAGAAAACTGATGCCAGATCAATGCACAGAAGCAGGCAGGGGATGCCTTAGGCTGCTTAGGTTCCTACCACATGGGTTAGGTGAAGCTGCCTCCCCAGCAGGTTATCTGAGGAGCAGCAGCAATCCAAGAATCACCTGGCCTTCCTATGGCCTTATGGGTGCTCCCTGCCTGATGTTATGCACAAACAGCCCTGCTAAAGCCAGGCCAATGCTGTCACAAGTCTACACAATTTTGCTAAATTCTTCTTTCACCATGGGGTCACATGCTGAGGAGAATGTGCTACTATGGTGGACAGGGTGGGAAGGTGGGGGGGGGCTCCTCTTTTTCTACTTGCTCAGCAGATGGCGTTTTCTGGCAATGCCACTGGTGAAATGAAGCTGTTCAAGGAGTTGTATCATGCTGTGAGGAACAGGCTGTACCATTAAAGGTAAGAGTCTATTAACAGAAGCATGGTGTGTTGACTTTCTTCCTCTTGTTTTTTCTACATAAAAGCTGTAACTTTCATATATATGTACAGAAAAAAAAAAGATATTTCAGCTTTTCTATAATGCTCACCACTATACTATAATTTTCTGCAGTACCATTCAAATCTATACTTCAAGAGAAGTCTGTGCAGGAAGTTTGTTATTCAACATAAAGGACAACTCCTCCTCATGGTTCTCCTGGAATTTTAATATACGAAATTGGAAAGAAGTGTTTTCTGAGTGTTACAGCTTGTGTGTAATACATGTAAAGAAATGAATGTTTTAGCCCAACTGCCAGAGGAAGAGCCCTCAGCCACTAAAAGCAACTGTCAAACCTTCTCTTTCTCTAAGGAACTGCCGCATTTCACTGCTGGAGTGCAAGCAACAGCAGGTGAGGGTGCCACAGCATCAGGAGGGATTCCCTGAGTACCTGGGTTGTAAAGTGCAATGATTTTCTGCTGTTCAGCCACCAGCCTTCGCAGCTGCTCCATCTGCTGCTTCATCACCTGGTCCTGCTGCCCCGGAGTCTGAAAATATCATGAAGATACAGTATCAAACTACATTTCTGGATGGTTTTAAATCAGACAGAATCACCATATCTGGACTTTGGGGGTAGGTATTTCTTAAAGTGTGTATCACTTTTGATAAAGAATGTTGACATTTGTATTTAAAACTCTTTTGCCATTTTACAACTCAAAGGGTACACTAATACTGTGCAGGCAGTATGTGCCTTGCCAGGTTTTGCTACTCAGCCTCACATCAGCCGGCATTTTCTTCTGATCTATGTGCTGGGATTTCCCTCCCACAGAAGCTAAAGCACAAAAGGGAGAGAAGTGTCCATCCATGTTTCGCACCAAGAAGGTGTTAGAACAGCATCAGAGCAGATGATACCCTCAGGTCAGGCTTCACTGTAAAACTTCAAAATGTGCCAGGGTCCAGCTTTTCATTGTTTGTTGAACTATCTGATAAATGGAAATCACCAGTATCGTCAATGGAAAGCAGCTTTCAAAAGTCAATATCCACAGAGCACAGATGCGATTAGGAGGAAATATGAGCATGGTCTGAAATTAGGGACAAAAGGATAGAAGAATAAGTCCAGTCTTTGGCTCCACAGAAATCTTCACTAACATGGAGAAAGGACTGACTCTGCCTCTGACTAAATTGCTGCGACTAGTTCCTCAGTCCTTCTGCAGGCCAGGCACTCCCCCTTGCCTCCCTGCAGGCACACACCTATGCAACTTGCCTTGGCCTTCTGAGTTTCCCAGTTTATGTTTATTTGACTCCTTCTCCCACTTATCTGTTTCTCCCGTCCTGTCCACTGGGAAGAACAACCAGAGATCAGTAGTGCAAGAGACAGGTCTTTTTTTTCTCTTTTTCTTTTTTATTTATTGTGAAGTGCCAGATCTGTTCCAGAACTAAAACTTACAGTGTAAAGACAACCTCATGTTGTTGCTGTGCCTGGAGCTTCCCAGAAGTCTGCCTGGAAGCATCATTTTCACTCTACTGCCCCTCTGTCTGGTATCACTTGAGAAGCACCATGTAACAAAGCAAACCCCAAGTTCTCTTTTTCTTTACCAGAATCTTTGAGAACATTTCAAGTAATTCACACAGTCAAATGCCAGAAGCCACCAACGAACAAAGAATGCCCAAGACTCAGTATCAGATTTTATGACCAGCTGTTGACAGTTTAGGATATCACAGGATACATTCTGGTCATTAAACTTAATGATCTGGTTTATGTCATCCAAGAAAAGAAGTAGCAGACTCCTGTGACTCACAAGAAGTTGTCTTCAACTGCAGCCTTACCTACATGAATACTTTCCCAAAAACCAAGGAATAACAAGTTTCCTGTCCCTATATGTAAAGTACTAAAATCTTCATTAGACTGAGAGCTGAAGGTGGTGAGGACTCCTGACTGGCTCTTAAGTATCCCCTTGAGAAGGGCAGTGGGGAACTGGATCCCAGGGCAGGCTCAACACCACACTTAGCAGTCCTCAGCCACAGGAAATTTAGATGATCAAGGAGGCACTGCACTGGCACAGCCCAGCTGCAAATCTCCTGACACGTGACTGAAGAACAACACTTTTCCCAGCACTTGTCTGTTGTGCAGAGGTGGTGCCAACAGTGTCAAGAAAAGAAGCCCTGAGGTGAGGTGGGCTCAGGGCAAGAGGCAGACGATGCAACCTTGTTAGCCCAGGTACTTCTGATTTTGACATAATCAAAAAATGTTAAAATGATGATAGACTTCCAGTGGGGAAAGTGTTGAGAACTGCCAGCATAGACACATCCTAAATAATAAATTCAACTGTATTGGAAACATAAGAGTTTCTTTAAAATATGCAACTAAGGCACTGTATTGTTTACTATGCTATGAGAAGCACATAGAGCACTCAGTGGAAGAGATACTGTGGAGTTACTCCTGTCCATCACTTCTTTGTCAAAACTAGGAAGAAGAGGCAAAAGTCAGAAATGGAAAAAAGATAAAAAAGGAGATGGAGCATGAGAAAAGGACTGATAGAAAGACATACGGAAATAAGAACATGAACATGCCCCACAACCATTACACACATGAGTACATGGAGTCAGAACATGCAATCTTTTTTTGCCAGAGGGAGGGAGATAGCGATAACTATTGAACAAGAGGAACATGAGAAAAATTGATTAATTGTCTCTTGGGAAAAGCACTTTATTGCCTGGATGCATTAGAGCAACAGCATCAGACACAGGGTTATGATGCTTTTCCCAGTGCTTGCCAATAAAGCTTCCTACTTGTAGACAGACACAAAAGTTACTGGCCCTTTCTTCCTGAAGAGGCTGTGCAACTATCAGAAATATACAATATGCAGTTACAAAGTCAGTGATTATTTAAAGAAAACTAACCTGTTCCATGTTTTTGTAGGTGGGAGCACAATGTTTCATCCCAGGCCCTGAGGCGGGGAGCAGAGGAGGAGTGAACATTTCCAAGGTGTCACTTGCATCATGAATTCCAGACGGGGTTACACTGGAAGCCAACTTTTGAGGAAAAAAATCAGAGCTGGCCAAATAATATAATTGCCTTGCATGCTGAAAAGCTTGGTTGTGGCCCAAGTTATCTGTTGAGACACTACTGTCGCCCATCATACCGCTGGCTTCTGAACTGTATAAAAGTGGACACTGCTTGCTGGAGGACTCACTCGTATTGTCAACCCAACCCAGGGATAAAGAAGGCATGACCTTCTCAATTGTTATATTGGAAGATGGTACCATGCTTGCCAGATCACTGGCAGCCTGCTGTGACATATGGTCTTCCTCCTTAAAAGCATCTGCTTCCATGCCCTGCTTTCTGAAATCCATGTTAGGGATGTGCAGTAAAAACCACCAGGAACAAATGTGTCATACTGACATAGTAAATCCTGCGGTTTGTCTTCTTTCTTTTTTTTTTTTTTCATCCAAGAGAATTTTCTTTTAGCCCAGGCTGAATGTAGAGTATCTTCTGACTTCAGAAACTGTAAAACATATATATATATTTATATATTTTAATATATATAAAAGTATATATAAATATACATATATATTAAAAATACTGTTAGAATACATGCAATAGAAAAAAACCTATAAAATCACAGTATTTCCGCCAGCTAAAATGGCTTAGATGTACTGTCTGCTCTGTCACTGTTAAATCCTAAAGTCTCAGACAAACAGGAACAGATGTAAGACTCTATTACAATAAAAAACAAAACCCATTCACCACTAGAAGCATTTGCCAAAGTGTCCTGACCTTGTCTTTCAGCTAAATCTTCAGCCTTTAAGTTCAGAGAAAGTGCTCAATGTCCAAAGATGACTGCCGAAAGCAGGGAATGGAGATAACAGGAAGAAACAAGAGAAAACAAATGGCATGTGAAAAAAAAACAAACAAAAAATCACTAGAAAACCACCTGATGTTTAAGTAGCTCAGAATAATGTTTATTTCAAAAAGATAGAATAACACAGCTACAGCTTGCATCTGTTCTCCCTGAGACCTGTATGGCTGAGACAGCTGCGCAACACAAACATTCTCTTTCCCCTCTTTAGGCACTTGGCTCCAGTCCTCCCGAGGCAGGGGCCAGGCATTTGCTACTTACCTTAAAAAATGGGGGCGGGGGGGTATATTTCAGCAGCTGAAGCTAGTGAGCTCCCCCATCTTGCCTGCTATGGGAGGATTCGAAGGTAGTTTATTTGCACTCCTTGAAAAACGTGGAGTCTCCAAGAATTTCATTCGCTCGCAAGAAAATTATTCAATGCCTTCTTCCTACTTTAATGTAAGTGGTTTGCGTAAGATGTATACACACCCTACCAGTTTCAATACCTGCTTTGACAGATCCATCATGTGTAGCTAGGAAACATTATGTTGTTTGCAGGCTTAAACTCCCTTTGAGTAATCTACAGTTCCACTGGAAACCATTTTGGAAATCTACAAATCTAAACCAACAGAAGTCCAGGCTGTCTGGGCAGATGCTTGTACACTGAAATAAGAACCCTACAGAATGGATCTTCAGTAGGAGTGCAAAAAAAAAAGGAAGCAGGTGTAGGGAAGACAGAGGACTGGATAGGGACAGATCAGAAAGGATGGGCTAAGAAATCACATTTAAAGAAGAGAGTAGAGCCCATGACCCTATATTGCAATTCCCTCCAAAGCCTAAGAGGGAACGCCAGATCCCTGAGTCTCCCTGTTCCTCTGCTGTCAACAGCAGTACTGGTTGTATCCTGGTATTGCACAGGATATGATAATTTGCTTCTCCTACAGATCCCCACTTCAGGTCGAACTCAAGTGGACCTAAAAGTTCCAACCTGCCAGTGATTTTTCTGAGTATAATGCTATATGCAAGTTGGTTGGTTTTTTTGTTTGTTTGTTTAACTTTTTTTTTTTAAACCTAGGCAACAACACATACACACAAAAATCACTTAGCTATTCATAGGGTACAAAGTTCAAATGCTGAGCAGTTATCAGCTGCCAGCATGAAGGTTACTCTCCGTAGTAAGGGGCAATACAAAGGCTATTGGTGGCCTGTCCCACTGACATATTTTGCACCAGGTGCATGGAGACTCCATGTCCTGGTCATGCTTTTTCCAAAATACAAATGAAGGAAATATAATCTGAAGGCTAAGAATGGTGGGATCTGGAAACAGGCGACATTTGCCAAGAGTGTCTCCAAACACATACTTCCCTTTAGGCACCACACCCACTGCACAGCAGGTAAGGAATTATGAAGAACTGGATTTTGTGAGAAAACCTCCCTGACATCATCAGCAAGGAAAAGATATTCCAAACTTGACACTGATAAGGAGGTCTCTGAGTGACTCACTTGACAGTGTCAGCTTTTTTCCCATTAAAAATAAAAAGAAATTCCAATAACTGTCTATCATAGTTGATCTTCTTCATCAGTTTAACATACTGTAATCTCAGAAAGGTGTGTGGGGGGGTGTATTCTTAATGTATGAAGTTTCATAGGTAAGAAATAATTTGTTTATAAAAGTGAACACTGCCTAGGCTGGTAGCTGACTTCAGTTTGGATAAGAAACTGAACACTAAAACTTGCTCTATCATGAACCTTTCCAATGTTTGCGTTCTCATTGTTGTGGATTGCCAGGGAATTAGTGACTAAACAGAAGCTCTCACCCACAGCCCTGATCCCTGCGGTTCTTCCTGGACTGCACCACTCAATCCAAGCCAAACGAAGCCTCCTCCTCTCCAGGCAACAAGGTAGTTCCTCAGTAAATATGGCCAAAGCAGTCAAAACTACTCCCTGTGAGGTAAAAATACCTTTGCACAGAGCACCTTGGCAGCCGGCAGGAGCAAACAAGGAAGCGCGGTACAGGCTGACGATTGTCTTGTGAAGTGTTTGTTGGGATTCTCTGTTTTAGCAGATTTTTTTCATTTAAAAACTATTCTAAAGACTAACATGTTTTATCTCAGGTAGTCTCCTAATAAATATCAGACAAAATAAATAAGTAAAATATTTTGCACTTTCACAGAGCTTTCCACCCATGTAATTTTAAAGCACTGCTTGCATGAAGTCAGTATGGCTTTGCGTACGTGACCTGATCTTTAACACTGCTAAATCCTCACAAATTCCCCTGAAAACAAGTAGAAATCTAACTGAAAGCCCAGACAGTTTTAATAAGGTCCCCCAAAATAGCATTAGGAAGTTAACCATAGTGGCTCAGGCCTGCACACCTCAGCTGAAGCCTCAGAGCCAGACTCGCAGCCCTGCGAGAGCTGCCAGTGATGGGGGCACCCCAGGGAAGCCCTCTTCCCGTAGCACTGTCTGAAAGACTTTGGGAGAAGAATTTTCCTAAACCCTGGAGCAGTTCCCTGAGTGTCTCCCTACTGGAAATAGCAATGAGAAGTTATTATTTGTAAATTTTCCTTCTGCTTTTTTAAATCGTATTATTAAGAGTGGAGCAACAGCCATAAACTTGATGCATAGAGATAAACAGAACAAGGAGACATAAATCAGTGGTGATAATTTTCTTTTAAGCAGCACAGAATATAAAATATTCTACAAGCATTGAAGTGCTGGACTTATCCTGCACTCACTGCATTCTCCAAAATCTGATGAATTTTTTATTTTTCTATATCTGCACTGCTCTGATACCCTAACAATCCCAGGCACAGATCTTGATACTTCTCTGCTGGGAATGGTACAAGCCCATAACAAAATGACACTTTATTTTATAATCAGCTTATGCAAATAAGGATGCAGCTGCTTCATGGGTTATATTTGGCTTCTGTAAAGATGAACATGCAATATAAAAAACAATAATAACATAAAAAGGATGAAGTTTGTCCATTAATTCCCATTAACTTCTGTATGCTTTGGGACATGTCTAAACTAATACAATGAAAAACATCATACATCAACACAAAAATCCATTAAATTTTTTCTTTTAAAAGTACTGAATAATTTCAAAAAATACTTAGCTAGCCAAGAAATTTTATAGGGGAAAAAAGAGCTATCAGTAACACCAGAGCAATATCTAACTCTTCACACCTCGAGTGATTCAAGAGAAAAGCAAGACTGGTATCAGGCTAAACAAAATGGAATTTCCAGATAGTTCCTAGTGATATTTAGGATTTAATTATAATCTTCAAGTCTTTTGTTGTAAGAGATGTGCTGACATATACATTTAGGTTTAGAAGGTATATTGGGCGATCATGGTTTTTTAAGTTATTAATGGGTTTGTGATATGTTTATATTTGCTTATTTTTCATTATACTTTGGGATTTATTCTTCTTATGCAATATGCAATTGTTTGATGATGTAATAAGAAATCATACATTTATTTAAGGTGAGGAACATAGCCATTTATCTGTATTATTGCTGTTGTTACTTGTTCCCTATGACCACAATGGCTGGTGCATTTGAAAGCTACTATTTGACGACTGATAAAACTCATTACTGTGATCACTGATATCAAACAGTGGCAAATTATTTCTTATCTATGGCCAGTTCTGCACATGTTGTTTCAATATTTGCTACTGGAGCATCATTCATGCCACTGAAGTCAAGAGGAGCAGTGCTGAAGCCTTTCCTGTGTGGTGGAGTGACACTGCTCCTCACCCCCAGCTGCGAGCAGCTCGGCTGAACCCTGGCCTGCCTCTGCCACGGCAGTATTTTTCTGCGAAGTCTGCATACCTTAACATTGGCGTTTCTAGCATTTTCCCTTCTTTCTCCAAGTGGATGCCAGGTCTCCTCCCGGCAAGACACTGCCAGCCACCTCATTAGCAAGCTAGAGTCTTTAAAAGCAGCCAAAATGTAGAGCATAGATTCATTTTTCTCTTTTTATTTTTTTTAAATCTTTCCTTTTCACTCAGGTGCTGGCAGCATGGGCAGCTGCCTGCCCCAAACAGCCTGCAGTGCAGCATGGAAACATGTAGCGGCAGTGTCACCTCCGTACTCAGCTTTTTGGTACTTGCTCCTAATTTTTTTGGATAAGCAGTTTCAGACCGAGCTCATAACTTCCCCCAGGACCTAGCTGCAACAGCATAACGTGAGGGCTTGCTCTTCCTGAATTAGTAACTTGTTAGTGTGATTTGTTTACTAGTTTTGAGTGTACACTACTAACACCTTAGTAACAGTATCCACAATTCGGTATAACAATCTAGTTGACATGAGTTACTGTCATTTAAGCACAGCTCATTTACTATCTACCATTTAGGATGCTCCAGGGTGTTTGAACTGCATATAATTTATCTTGGCCTCTGTAAAGACTTCCCAGGAGAGATTTCTGTTGCCTTGCATATTGCTCATTCAAGTTTCACTACAGCAGAATTATTGTCACAGTTGAAAACTTCCAAATCAGTTTGTTTTTTT